AAGAGGTTGTCCCTGTCCATGTTCTGACAGCCGTTCTCCAACACTGACTGGGTGTCCCTCAGTTCAACTTAATCTTGACACTAGCCATCCGGAGTCAGCGTAGACCCAGCAAGGTCCCCAACAAGACTGCTCTCATTTCAGGCACTGGCCACAGGTGAGGTCCCCAGGCCACCTGTGCCTCCTCCATCTGACTTGCCTACAAATTCAGTGTTCCCATGACCCCACTTCATGTTTGAAAATTTACTAGAAAAACTCATAGAACTCAGGAAAGTGCTGTACTTTGGAATATAGTTTGATTATGAAGGATACAACTCAGGACCTGACAAGTGAAGAGATGCACAGGGCAAGGTCTGGGGGACGGGGTGGGACCTCAGAGCTTCCACACCTTCTCTGGACACCAGTATGTTCACCAGCCTAGAAACTCCACTGAGCCTTGGTGTCCACAGTTTTTATGTGGGCTTTCATAGCTACACACAACTGATTAAATCATTGGCCATGTGATTGAATTAAATCTCCAGTTCCCATATCCTCCCCAGAGATCAGGCTAACCCTAAGTTCCAACCTTCTAATCATGTACTTGGATTTCCTGGTGCCCAGTCCCCGTCCTGAAGCTATCGAGGGGCCACCACGAGCTATCTTGGGGCCTTGTAAGCATAACACAGACACTCCTATCCCTCAGGAAATTCCAAGCGTTTTTGAAGGTCCATGCCAGAGACAAAACACAGATATATTCTTTATTATTTCACATTGCCCATGTCTGCCTGACCTGGAAAGGAAAGTTGCTTGTAGAAATCTCTGCTTTTTACATGACAGATGATTCCAAGCTTGCGTTCAGGGGGATTTGGGTCCCTAGAACAGAGAGGGTATTTTGGAAGAGGCTTCCTTTGGGGGACACAAGCAGAATGAAGTTGGGCAGGGAGAGTTCTAGGCTGAGACTGTAAGTAAAGGGGTCATATAATTTATCATCTAATCCAGGACACCTTCAAGAGTACAAGGGGCCAGGGCTTGGGAGTCTACAGGAGATTGACCCCTGTGCCAGCTGGCAGGAGAGGAAAGAGCACGGAGGGCTGGAGGGGCACTTAGGAGGGCTGGGCCTGGCCATGGCACACCCCCTTGTTCTCATGCTTGTGGGCAGGACTCGGGCACCTGGCCACACCTGACTGCCTTCACAGTGTTATTCCCACTGTGCTGCAAATATTCTTCCCCAGATAGCCTCATGCCACACTCCCATGCCAGACTCCTTCAGGTCTTTGCTTAGAAGATACCTTAACAGAGACAAGCTTATCAAGCCTGCATGAGATGGTGAGCCCACTCCCACCCCGCTCTTCCTATCCCCTAACTATTGACTAATAATTTACCTAGTCAGGGCTTGTATTTGGGTTATCCAGAGAAAGAGAATCAAGAGAAGACGGATGGATGGACAGATAGGAAGGAGGAGATTTATTATGGGAATTGGCTTAAGCAATTATGAAAGCCAAGAATTCCCACCACCTGCCATCTGCAAGCTAGAGACCCAGGAAACCCGGTGATATAATTCAGCTTGAGTCCAAAGGCCTGAGAACCAGGAGTTCTGATGTCCCAGCCCAAGAAGGCAGAGAGTTTGGCCTTCCTCTCCCTTTTCATTCTGTTTGGGCCTCCTGGACAGATTAGTTGAGGCCCACCCATATTGGGGAGGGTGATCATCTTTACTCAGTTCACTGATTCAAATGCTAATTTCTTTCAAAACACCTCACAGACACACCCAGAAATAATGTTTTACCAGATATCTGGCCATTCCTTAGCCCAGTCAAGTTGACACAAAAAATTAGCCATCACAGGGCTCTTGTAGCATGCAGTAGAAGCAGACTCAATTTAAGGGTATTAGGGAACTCACCCAATCAACAAAAAGACTGGAGAAACCAACTCAGGGAATCAAGGCCCAGCTCAGATCTGGTTGGGGGTACAACGTGCACTTGGGCTACAGCCCTGGACACTGGCTGCCATAGCACCCACTCTTCACCTCTGAGTTGCTCCCTCCAGTCATATGTCACAGGGTGGGGGCACTTGATTGGCTTTGATGAAGTCATGAGCTGATACTCCAGCAGCCAGGGGACAAAGAGGAAAACTGTCTGTCACTGGAAATGGGGCCTGGATTCCTATCTATCTAGGAATTCTCCCAAATAAGAAGCATTCCTGAAAGCTGGGCTACTACTGGGTGTGGAGTTCTAGGTGGATGGCTTCATTTCTACGATATTGTTTAATTTATTTAATGTGTATTTTTGTTAAGAAGTTTGCTATCAATCTTCTTTGTGTTCCTTTATAGGTAGTTTTCTTTTTATGTCTGGGTTGCTTTGAAGAATTTCTCCGTGTGTTTGGTAATACTACAGTTTCACCAGATGTGGCTAGACAGGAAATTATTTATTCTGCTCAGGACTTATTGTTCCTTTTCAATTTGAAAATATTTGCCTTTCTTCAGTAAATTCCCAGCCATTATATCTTCGAATGTTACTTCTTCCCTATTACTGTCCTCAGAAATTCCTGTTAGAAGAATGTTGGACTTTTTATTCTGTCTTCCATATCTTTTCATAGAGAGATAGTCATATGTTCTGGCCATTTGACTCTGCGTTATATTTGAAGAAGTATCTCCAGATATATTGTCCAATTCTTTAATTCTCTCTTCAGTTATGTCTAAGCTGTATTTAACTTATGCATTTCATTTTTATTTCCAATGATTATGCTTTTATAAAGTTCTGTTTTGTTCTTTTTCACATCTACCTGTTCTTTTTTCATGTTCGTTCTGTATAACGTTCTTGCTTTGGAGTTTCTAGTCCTTTTTTCTCCTTCATTATTTTAGATATTCTTCCTGTATAGCCTTGTTCAGGGGCTACTCTTACTTGAGGTTCCCAGGGTCCGGTGCCTCCTCTTGAGTTTGTTTTTTGTGTGGCTGATTCCTTTGGAGGGGTTGTTTTCAGCAGCAGGTTCTGTCTTGCTGTGGTGCTGGTTTTTCCTGAGAGCGTGCCCGGTGCCAGTGTGGCGAGCGTTTTCCCCTGTGTGGTCTCATTTGCTTCTCCAGGGCTGCCGCGAGGGTGGTGCTGTGCGGGACCTCTTGAGTTTGTTTTTTGTGTGGCTGATTCCTTTGGAGGGGTTGTTTTCAGCAGCAGGTTTTGTCTTGCTGTGGTGCTGGTTTTTCCTGAGAGCGCGCCCGGTGCCAGTGTGGCGAGCGTTTTCCCCTGTGTGGTCTCATTTGCTTCTCCAGGGCTGCCGCGAGGGTGGTGCTGTGCGGGAAGTAGGCAGGTGGGAAGAATGAATAAATTTAGCATTAGGAACCACCTCAGAAAGTGGGCCTGTCTGTCCTCCCGGCGTAGGTGACTGGCCCGAGTTGGTGCTGTTTCTCTTTTCCTTACGAAAATCTGCATGCTCTCTCCTGATTCAGGGCCAGGAGTGCAAGTGTGAAAATCTAGTTCAAACAGGCTTTCAGCAGTCAGGCGACTTTCAGCTCATGTAGTTGAAAAGGGCAGAGGTAACACGCAAATGACCTAGGCTCTGTGTCCCTCGCCATCCAGGTGGGATGAAGAGCCTTGCTCTGAAGTTGTCTTACCCTTCACGTCTCTGGGACTCTCGAACACCACTACCAGGACCAACCCTTCAGAACCACAGCTCTACATGAGACACTTCCTGGCTCAAAAACCAAAGGCTCACTTCGTGTCTCTAGTAGAAAGTCCAAGTCATTGTGGCTGGCGTTCGAGGCCATTCCTTTCTCGGACTTTATCCTGCCTGACCCCTCTTCACACAATCCTTGAATCCATTCCCACAGAACTGCCCCTGCTCTGACCCCACCATGGTATTACTTGTGGCCCCTGCCCACAGCATTCATGCTCTGATTCGTGTCTGAGTTACTTGTGTACGTGTGGCACACCACCCTTTCCAGCTTCTCGGTTCCTGGAGGAGGGGAACTGAGTCTGACTTAGTTTCCTACTTTCCGGGGTGCTGGTCAGAAGGCCTGTCACATAAGAGCTGTTCTGATGGGCCTAAAGGAATTGGGTGCCCCCAGGCCTCCTACTGGTGAGCAGGTAAAGCCAGGCTAGTGGCTCCTGAATCGCATGAGGCAGGTTCATATGCTTCTATGATTCCCACAGGGAACCACTGGCTTTGGAATCAGTGCTTCAGTGCAGAAGGGCTTGAGCCTGGCAGTGAGGCCAGAGTATAACGTGAAGGCTGGCCCCACGCGGAGTCTCCCTCCCCCCATTCCTGGGCCTCCCGCTTAGGCCCCATGCCACTGCACGTTCTTCAGGACACCCTCCTGGCCCAGCAGCTACTGTCAAAGCCCCTGTGCAGCTTCAGGATGGTCCCTGTTTGCAAAACAGCAAGTCCTGCCTGGTACGGTTATCCATTAATGTGGATACGATGTCTTCCAAATCATGGGCATCTTGGCACAGCTCTCCCTAGGCCTTACGCTCAGCAGGGCTCACAACACACAACTGTTGCTTGAAGGCAGCCATTCAAGTCAATGTTGTGCCCAGAACTGACCCCGGAATGGATACAACAGTGTAACACATTCAAACAATCAGGAACCTGACGGAGCTGTTGGGTAACCATATTTGTGTCTAACAGGGGCCTCGTTTTCTGCTATTTCAAACCTAGTACAGTGCCCGGCATGTGTCAAACTCTCATGTAAGTTCTTTTTTTTTTTTTTTCTGCTATTTCAAACCTAGTACAGTGCCCGGCATGTGTCAAACTCTCATGTAAGTTCTTAAATGAAGAAATGAATAAGCTAATATGTGCCTATTTACTGTCTTCCCACAGACTCCAACAGCAGCGAGCCCCTCGGTGTTGCTCCCGCGCCTCGCTCAGCCAGTGAGCGGGAACCGGTCTGTATGTGGGATCCGAACCCTCGGCGGGAGCGCCGCCGCACTTCCCAAGCGGCGCACTAGTGCAGTGCGCCACCAGGCCGGCCACTCATGTAAGTTCTTAAATGAAGAAATGAATAAGCTAATATGTGCCTATTTACTGTCTTCCCACAGACTCCAACATCAGCGAGTTAAAAACAGCCTGCAGGAAGCACGAGCTTTATGTGAGCTTCCAGGACCTGGGATGGCAGGTGAGTTCTCTGGATACCAGGGAGGACAGAGGTCTTTCTTCAGCAGTCCTCATCCTGAAGGTGGCAGCCATCATCAAAGCCTTCTAGCTTCAGGGCTGAGATGATTCCTTCCATGGAAATACTTAGGCGCCCCCACAAATGCTTGGGCAGAGGAAGGCCTGGCCTGCCGGTGCACCAAGCACACACAGACACCTTTCTAGGGTTCCCAAGTTCTGTGATCTCTCAATCAACCCCCACATTTCCCAATTCTCTTACCTGATTCTTTCAAAGTCCACAGGATATATATTTATTTGAGCATTAAAACAAATTTTAATTGTGTTTTGAGATAGGGTTGGAAAATATGACCTAATGGCTAACTTATCTAATGGCTGTAGATTGGTTCACCCAAACTATTCAGAAGAGCACGCATGTTTTGCCCCACACCTGAGAACCACCACTAGCTTGAAAGGAAAGAAGCAAATTTAATTGTAGGTGATGAGCAGTAGAAGACAGTTTCCATATGCAGGTGGCATTTGACAGCAGTACCACGGGCTCCTAGAGAGGTTGCTTTGGGGCCAGGTCCATAAAGCCAGTCACCTGCATGCTTCCAGGCCTAACAGGCAGGTGGCAGCTAAGGCTGCGTGGGCCTAGGGAAGGAGCAAAGGTTCTGGAGTCAGACCGACCAGGCTCCCACCCCAGCTTTGCTACTTGAATGTGACTTTGGACAAATTCTATGTCTCCTTGCCTGCCCGACGTGGACAATGCCTTCTCACAGCATCACTGAGCATGCAGATAGTGCAAGAATATTCATCTGCTGCTGCTTTTTTTTTTTTTTTTTTTTTTTTTTTT